CAAAGGACACAAACATGGCACAGGTCAAAGGGCAGAGAACAACAGTCCAATTTGAGCAAACGATGGACAGAAGGAACAGACACCAGCGGCAAACAACAAGGCGCGGGAGGTGATGTGTGGGTAACACAGAGGCCCGATGAGGAGCGACGCATCAAGTCACACTGTGTCGCTATCCTTGGACGGCGCCCCTGAATCGTGAGGTGAGGCAGTGGCTTGAGGCATCGCAGCCTCGCGCGCCTTCTCTGCAGGCTCGTTGTCACACGCCGCGCCTGCATCCTTGGAAGCTGGAGCTGGAGCCGATGACCCATCGCCTTCCATCTCGGGCTGGCCGCTGTGCTGCCCGCCATCACCATCGGCATCGCCGGTGTCTGTGGCAGTGGCGGCTCCCTCCTTTGCATCACCGCACTTTGCTGATGATGACGATGACTGTGCATCTGCACGACCAAGGTCGCCGACCTTGCTGCTCGTGGAAAGGGTCACTCTCTGGCCAGTGTCCTTGTTAGTGCCACGACCGCCCGCACTGGCACTGCTGCTGCTGCTGCCTGTTGGGTTTGGCAAGAGGGGAGGGCCTGCCTTGAACACAAACGGCTGCGAGGTGCCGCTCTTCTTCTTCTCATCCGACGCAAAGCTGAAGCCGCGGGCGGTGAAGCCAAGACCGCGGGTGCCCTGCTGCGCCTCCGGTGCAATTGGGGCGCGGATGCCCTGGCCCTGTGCACCAAGACCAGCACCTTCGACATAGCCTTGACGCTCCATCATGCGTTGCGCAAATGTGTGTGTGTGTGTGTGTGTGTGTGTGTGTGTGTGTGTGTGTGTGTGTGTGTGTGTGTGTGTGTGTGTGTGTGTGTGTGTGTGTGTGTGTGTGTGTGTGTGTGTGTGTGTGTGTGTGTGTGTGTGTGTGTGTGTGTTGGCTGAAGGGAGTGCAAGGCTGCGGCATGGCAAAACAATGCGAGTGACAAGCACACGTGAGCCCTCAACCAGCCACACAAGTACGCAGATGCATTTAAAACGACAACGCACCCTGAGTATTGCGGCTCGTGCTTTGGGCGCTCCATGTACGCTGGGCGGCCGTCAATCCACTGCAGCAGAAGCAACGGCAGCAACAGCAACAGCGAATATCAATGAGATGACTTCCACCGCAACAACAACAGCAGTAAGCCAAGACTGGAGGTTGGGAAACCACGCTACAACTGCAGCACGTGCAAGCGCATCACCTGCTTCTGCATGATGGACTGTTTGCGCTGGCCGGGGTCCGCGTTGGCGTCGCGGAGCGTTCGTCCCCCAATACCGCGTGAGATTCTGGCAAGGACGCGAAACACGAAGCACGTCGTGGAAGTGGGTGGTGGGAGAGGCAGGTGTGACGGGAGCGAGGAGAGTGAGGACGAGGTGGTGACCAAAACGCGAGTGCTTTACGCAGCACGAGCAGCGCAAGCAAAGAAAACAAGGAAAACGACACCTCACGCAGGGTGACACGTACTCGTGTGTCATGGCGCCAATGCGGGCATCGAGGCTGGCTGAGTCATCTGGCGAAGCGCCACACACCTGATCAGCCAACCGCCATGCAACGGGCAAAGTGTAAGCATGTGCCAAACAATTGCATTGCCAGCAGGGTGTGTGTTTGTGTGTGTGTGTTCGTGTGTGTGTGTGTCCGTGTTCGTGTGTGTCCGTGTTCGTGTGTGTGTTTGTGTGTGTGTGTGTTTGTGTGTGTGTGGCCACTAATTGCATGAGTGTGCAGAGGACCCCTCCACTGCCATGACAGATAGCGCGTCACCTTGATCAAGTACTCGCGAAGGATCTCAATCTCGGCCTTGCAGTCGTAGCAGTAGTCGATGCCCTCTGTCCTCACGCCGTGGTCGTACCGGCTGACGCGCGCCGTCGTGTTGAAGTAGAACATCTGCTCCTCATACCTGAACAGCAGCGATGATGACGATGATGATGATGATGATGATGACGATGATGATGATGATGATGATGATGATGATGATGATGATGATGATGGTAGCAGTGGGGTCAATGCACGGGAAAACTCATCCATCAATAACACACAGGCATACACACACACACACACACACACACACGCACTGCTGGTTGTCGTAGATGCGGCGGTCGTGGCCGGTGACCATGAGACGCGCCTCCGTGGTGGTGATGGGACCCCACACGGGCAGGTAGATGTCGCCTGAGGCATCAGCCGGTCGGAGAGTGGGCAAGAGGAGAACATGGGCGCAATGGGTTCATGCGTACAACGAGTTCACCCCGCACACGCATGATGTGCCCAAACTCACAGCGAACGCCAACACCACCACTTAACACTGAAGCAGACACAACACGGGAACTGCACAGCTGCTGGCTGAAGCGACGTGTGAACGCACCATCGAGGTACTCCGTCTTGCCCGGTTTCCATGAGAGGCGGAACTTGAGCATGCTGGGCAACAGGACGCATGATGTCGTGCCAGCGCATCTGCGCAGTCTTGATCCCTACCCCCGGCCTTGTCTGTCTCCTGAA